TAAGGAATAGCAAAAAAAAAAAAAAAAAAACACGTGGAGAAGAGAGCTGGGGAGTGAAGCTAGAAAAATAGGGAGGACATGGGTGAGCTCCATATAATACAGAAGGATAGAATGACTTGGCGTAAGTTGGTTAAGGGCCTATGCTCCATTGGGGGGACAGAAATGCAGAAGAAGAAGAAGAAGACTATGTGATATTGTCCAAAATCCTTTCACAGTTTTTGAGTTCTTTGGATCCAAAATAATACCAAATCCCTTGCTATATTCCTTCCCACCTAAATAATTCTGGGCTGATTTAAAAACTTGTTCCCTGCTCCTGGCCATTGCATTTCACTAATTCCTAATATGTTAATGTTCCTTTTCTTAATTTCCATCTTGATGTTATCAAACTTTCCGTTTTTGTACAAAAGTTCTGATGTTTCTATCATTTAATATTTTTACAGTAGCCGGAAGACAGTCGGGTATCGCCCGTAGAACATGATGCTCCCTACCGGACAAGGTGATTCCACTGGAATCCACATTGACGTCATTATCTGAATTCCTTATGTCTCGAGACATGATTTTCTAGGGTTAATACAGCGGTGGTTTCCCCTTGACTTCCGCCGGTTTGTAAATGGTTTGACTCCAATTATACTTGTCTAAAGAGACTTACCCTGCAAGGCAGCAAGGAAAAGAGGTTATTGCGCCTTTTACCCGCCGATGGCCATGTCGTGTTCTGAGGTATTTTAGCTGTCCCACCAACTCACTCGCCTCCTCTCAATGACCATCACAATGATTACTACGTCAGTCATGCATAGTGCATACATACGTATTATTCCTTTATATATATATATATATATATATATATATATATATATATATATATATATATATATATATATATATATATATATATATATACATACATACGTAAACACATACTTACATATACACACTTACAAACATTCATACATGCACACTTCATACATTTAAAAATACATACATACAGATAAATACATTCATACATACACATATACTTACATTTACATACATAAATACACACAAACAATACACACATACAGACATATGTACGTACGTACACACACATACATACATACACACGTGCGTGCGTGAGTACACGCATACTTACCCCAACCGACCAAAGTTCCATGGAAAGTGCAGCCTAGATCCCACGACTGCATGCAGCCTATCTACCACCCCCTGAAATATTAGATTGTTCCGTGACCTGTGGATTTCACTGTTTGGGGTAGGATATTAATAAAGCACCGACAGCCTTAACAATCGTAGGGGACGGGCCTCTGTGAGCTGGTCTGGGTGTCTAGTGGAAAAGAGTTTCTCATCCCTTGAAAGTCCATCGTGTCCGAGTTGTCTGCCAGTGTTCCTCTGCCACCTGCTAACAAAAGTCCAGCATGTGTCCGGTATACCAATCGTAAGCTTGTCTCTCAGTCGTCCAGGTATGCAGACTGCTCTAATTATGCTACCGCGGCGACTTCTTATCTCACAGTACCTTCTGCAAAATCACCAATTCGTCTTGTCCCTGTCCGAATACCATCCGGTAATTTCGTGCAGCAGGGAAACCATTCCTGAGCCTCATGAACTCAGGTGGGCCCACTCTCTGAAAACGTCTAGGAGCTGGTGGGCCGAAACGTTTGTCGACGAGAGATTACTTCTACTGACAATTGGTAGATCCCTGCTGTACATGCTCCCCTGTGGAGTTTATTGCTATGGTTTAGACGTATCCCTTGCATTAAGAAAACCACATGCCATACCTGTATCGACCATCAGCGGTCATAAATCATGGACACAATCTTTCATATGTATTTACAAATACCATCCGTCCTACATATTTGTGAATACTATCTGCTTTGCGTATTTATAAACACCATATTTTCTCGGTGTCACCAACTGAAAAGAGAGGGCCAGCCAGAGAGATGGATGGAGGCGGGTGAAACATGCAGCAATGAACCCCAAGGGCTCGGAATGCTGAAGAAGAAGAAGAAAGTCTATCCTACTATTCACGAACACAATTATTCTTAAGTTTTCACCAGCACCATTTGATCTTTCCTGCGTATTTATAAACGACATCAGTCCTAATATTCACAAGCACTATCTGACCTATATTTTCATGAATAACATCTGTCCTTCATACTCATGAATACCATATGTCTTTTTTTGTCACGAATACTCTCAGTTCTACATATTCATGAATACCATATGTCCTTTCTTGTCACAAATGCCATCTGTCCTTCCTTGTCACAAATACTATCTATCCTACATATTCATGAATACCATATGTCCTTTCTTGTCACAAATGCCATCTGTCCTTCCTTGTCACAAATATTATCTATCCTACATATTCATGCATACAAAATGTCCTTTCTTGTCGCAAATGCCACCTGTCCTTCCTTGTCACAAATACTATCTATCCTACATATTCATGCATACCATATGTCCTTTCTTGTCGCAAATGCCACCTGTCCTTCCTTGTCACAAATACTATCTATCCTACATATTCATGCATACCATATGTCCTTTCTTGTCGCAAATGCCACCTGTCCTTCCTTGTCACAAATACTATCTATCCTACATATTCATGAATACCATATGTCCTTTCTTGTCGCAAATGCCACCTGTCCTTCCTTGTCACAAATACTATCTATCCTACATATTCATGCATACCATATGTCCTTTCTTGTCGCAAATGCCACCTGTCCTTCCTTGTCACAAATACTATCTATCCTACATATTCATGAATACCATATGTCCTTTCTTGTCGCAAATGCCACCTGTCCTTCCTTGTCACAAATACTATCTATCCTACATATTCATGCAATACCACATGTCCTTTCTTGTCGCAAATGCCATATGTCCTTCCTTGTCACAAATACTATCTATCCTACATATTCATGAATACCATGTGTCATTTCTTGTCGCAAATGCCACCTGTCCTTCTTTGTCATGAATACCATCTGTCCTACAAGTTCATGAATACCATCTGCCCTACGTCTACATCACTCTTTCAAACAGAAATCTTTATGTTTATACTCTAATTTAGCCCATCCACGTACATTTCTTCCTTTTCAATACTTTTTCTCAGTCCACCCCACCTCCCCTCCCCCTCCCCCAACATCCTTAACTACGGAACTATGATTCTTTACGCCGTTAAAATCAATTATTTTTCTTATCCAGTTGGTATTAATTACTCATTTAGAATGCGTATGACTGTTCGCTTCACTAACATTCTATGTTTGCTATTCTTCTCTATATAAACTCGAACGCTTGTTTATTAATAAAGTATAGCTGTAAAAATATGAGTGCTCTTTCCATATGCCCTATGCACCTTGAGGCGTTGAAAGGGATCTTCACTTTAGTTTGACTAATATAACAGTATAGTCACTTGGTGTCCAGGGAAGTAATTGCTGGCTGCAGTGATTGCTGACCATATACCTATCCCTGCAATAATACTGACCACATGACCGCTCAAGTGCATATTTGTCTAAACAACTACGGGTCTAGCCCCCCCCCTTCCCCCCACCCACCTACGTTTCCACTAACTACGTGTAGTGTAAATATAGTACTTTGGTAACCGAAGTAAGACGGCGCATACACTCTTGCCTGGCAGCTCTAAATTCGAGGTTCGTGTCGGCTTTGAGGTTGGTTTTGATTGTTCATTTAGGGTCTCTGGTAGACAGTCTAAAACTGTTACTAGAAAATGTACTTGGAAGCAAAGACGGAGGGTATGCTGTTGATCACATCAACGAGTGCGTGCCAACTGGTCAATACGAAAACAGGTCTAGAAGTATGTAGCACGAAACAAAGACATTAGAGGGAGCCCTTTGTTCATTTCGCGGCGTACGAGGCTTAGGCGTTGCGAGTCTGACTTCAAATTCCAACTTACCGCGATCGAAACCCACTGCTGGCTACGTATGTTTTTATCATGGTACGGGGCGTCGCAGGTAGTTCAGCCTAAGATGGGTACCAGGATGGCTGTCTTTGGGAAGTAAAGACGACCGCCGTAATGCTGACCACATAACCCACCTAGTGCCGATTGGTCTGTAAAAATATGGGGTGCTCTTCCCATATCCCTGATGCGCCTAAAGCGTAAAAAGGAATCTTTACTTTAATACTTTACTTATGTTCATTTCGCTGTAAGTTAATGCTTGACCTCTTACCCTTATATAAGTAAAGCCGTTACTAACAATTTTAAAAATAGGACAAGGGAAAGAGACCAAAGTGCGTGTTTCAGGATGTGGATGACCTGTTTGATCTAATAAATTAATAAACAAAATAACATTTCATGTACTTGAAGAACATGCATGGATTATATATTCTAACAAGTACACTCATTGCGAAGACAAAAAAAGTCATACTTTGAAAATACTACAAAAATGAACAAATCTGCTACACTGAATTTTAATGCAACACTTTTCACATTGTATTTCCTATTACACAACTTTAAAATGAGGCACTAAATATTGGTAATCAATGCTCTTGTGAGTACAGGCTCGCATCCATAGTGACATTTTCCGTTAGGTCTATGTCAAAAATTTTGTGAAGTAAATGATGTGATTGTCATGTGAAGAAGTAGTACATTAACACTGACATTACTTTACGAGGTGCTCATGTAATTCATTGAATGTGACACAAAAGTTGCCTTAGGTCAATCTGACGTAGTCTAGACGAATGTTAATGCTGCTAAGCAGCTTGTTAACCAGCAAACTCAGGCTCGGGAAACCGCTGACATAAAATCGATAGAGTTCCACTTGTACATTTATAGTGGCTTCTTGCTCTTTTTTCAGTTTATTGTCGTGGGCTATAAGGTCACATAATTCTCTATTAAATTTAATATAAACCGCATAAATATGACTCAACATTGATTGGGCTTTGGCTTAAAGTTTTATCAACAGATTTAAACTTTGCGTTAGCTCATTTATTCGAAGTTTAACTTCTTATGAGTCTTGTTGTCGCTTCTACTACAAACACCCATAGACTCTGACAAGAGAATGAAACCTTCACCAATTTTTCTAAGTGACTCCACTGCCGGTGATCCGAGCATGAACATCTCTTCTATTTTAGAGGACTTGACCATGCCAAAGCCTGTAATAAACGATGAGTTATACTTTTATCTCATGTTTATTCTTCAAGGCACCGTGTGCCAGGCAATCACAATTTTCGGTATTTTCACGAACATCATTAATGTGATCATCTTCGTCAAGCAAGGTTTCTCAGATACCATCAATGTTAGTCTGCTGGCGTTATCTATCTCAGATCTGAGCTCCCTGCTGTTAATAATGTGGACCAATCTTTGCTTCAGTCCAGCCATCCGAGACTCCAATATTCCTATGGTCACAACTGAAGTGCATTTAATAACCGGCACTTGGCCACACATTGTTTTCACCAGAATAACAGGGTGGATAACTGCGTTCATCAGTCTTGAGAGATGCGTCTGTGTTATTCAGCCTTTGAAAGTAAAAACTATGTTCACTAGAAAGAGACACGTTATAGCTATGGTAGCCATTTTTACCCTTACAATGGGCCTTTCCTCTTTCGGTTACATCCCAGGAGGACTTGGCTGGAAGTTCTATCCTGATAGAAACAAAACGCTTATTGGAATTGCTTACCATCTAGGCGAAGACGGTAGAAAATACACAGACGCTGTTTCGTATGCTATCAGCGGTATATTTATGCCAATATCATGTTTCTTGTCTGTTGTTATCCTTACAACTATTCTTGTAGTCAAGCTCAACCAAAAGATGGCTTGGAGGCAGTCTAATTCTTCAGCCGTTATACAAAGCAAGCAAAAGTCAACTTCCGATGGGGTCGTTAACTCAAAGGAAAGAAAGATCGCCAAGATGGTTGTACTGATGTCTGTCATCTTCATTGCTTCATTTTTGCCAGCCGTTATTGTCTTCTTTACGGGAATCATTGTACCTACGTTCAACTATGACAAGCTAGACAGAAATTTAGTTTTTGTGATGATGTCTTTAACAAATACGGCCGAGGTTATAAACTCCAGTGTGAACATATTCATTTATATCAGAATGAGCTCCAAATACAGGGAAACATTTCTAAAATTATTCAAGCTGAAAACAACTGTAAATAACAGATAAACCACCCACAATATAAATTTTAATAAATGGGCTATCTGAAAAAGACGTTAAATTTTTTTTATACCGAATGTATGTGCTGTAAACAGAAGAATTAAACTGTACATCGCAGGGTATGCAAAGAAGAGTAGAGGCGGGCTTAATTGTTATGTTGTATTTTGTAAGAAACAAAATAGTTTCATTACTACTGCAAAAACAAAACAAACATTAGACTTAAAACCGTTATGTTAAGGAGTCGATAAATATAAAGGATGTTTCTCAGAGATCTCTTATTTATAAAAGTTTGCCGAGGACTAAATACATTTTAATAGTGAAATTTAGGAACTCATTATAATTAGGAAACATTAGAATCGCAAGATAAGATTGGATTCTAAAACTGATATTAATTTGTTCCGGCTTTCATGGAATCATAAAAAAGGAGACCGCTGGCTTAACATTTTATGCTAGAGCAAACTGGTTTAATCAAAGTCGCTCCTTCTAACCTTGTAAGTCATTTAGAGCACAATCGTGTGTGTCGTTGGGTCACCTGTTGCTGTTGACGGTCTGATTAGATCATTGCCGAGGCGTGGATGTAACATCTGTAATGGCCGATGTTACATTGCAAATTACAAATGATTTTTTTAAAATTTATTTGTATTTACTACTTTTACATATATGTCACTCAGTTTACGTCTCCAGACGAGCATGGTTAAAATATTTACAAATAGAAAAGAACATGGCTGCATGGTCACCAAACACATGCAGAAAATAAATTGTATAGAGCTACAAGTTACTAATAGCTGTCAAAGCATATTCGTAACAGCAAAGCGATGAAAGGAAAATATCACGTGATACCCTCTCGAGTGTTATTGTTACCTGTCAACGCTTAGTTTAGCCTAAACCGCTTACACGTGGAAATTTATCACGCCAAGTCGCTGGATTAAATTCCTTAATTGTTAGCGGTAGAAGTAATGGACATGTTTGGAAATCTGAGGCTCTTCCAGTCTGAAAAATTCTATTTTCGTCCCCTCTACTGAGTCCTGTCGTGTTATTTTGGAGAAATTTTTTTTTTTTTTTTTGCACGTTGTAACTATTGAATTTTTCGCCTTGCGACTGTTATAAAGAATGATTTACATTTGCCAGTGTAATGAGCTATGCTATAGCGATCTGCTTCATTTCTCTCGCAAAAGAAATACAAATAGGCTGAGGTCGTTGATTGTGGGCTAGAAGGTGCAGCAAATAACAGCAGCAGGATAACCTGGCTTTACAATAGATGTGAGAGCTCTTTCACGTAAGGCATTTTAGAATCTGTCATAGGAAGATCTATGAAGCGAATTTTTTTTTTTTTTTCAACTGCAGAATCGTGATATTTTCATCCTTCTCTTTTTCTGCGTTCGACCTTAAAAAGTCTGTTCCTTCTGCGGTCCTGAGCTGATCTTCAACCTGGTCTTTTTTTTTAAGGTTTGGTTTGTTTTGATTAGATACTGTTTAACAAGTTTGTGGATGTCTTTATTGCTATCCACCTTCAAACATTTGTTTGCAGGAATCTGTTGTTTGAGTTTTAGAAAATACTCCTTAATGGGTGTCCTCTCCAATTTGTATTTAGTTCAGTTATCATTTAATGGTCTATTGTATTAGCTTGAAAGCAGTCCAGACATAGAGGAGATGTAAATTTTTCTTAATGCCACCCTAGCCTAGCTCTCCATAATAGTTTGTTAGCTGGGATTTTCAATTTTCAACCTGTGTGTTTAGGCTAGATTCTTTAAGGTTTATGTATGCCTCTTTGCCATTAATGCTCATCTGCCATTAGAGTTTCCACATTTCAATGATATGTATTTTGATTATGCTGGTTCTTTAAGTTTTTCCGATATATCCACTATAGTAACGTGGCTCTTCACTTTACATTTAACGTACCTTCATTATGCTCACACATGTGTCTTATCTAGCAGTCTAGAGATGTTAATCTCTATCTTATGTCCGTACGTTGGAAGGCTGTTTCGACCAGTTCACTTTTGTCACCTGAGAATTCTCTTAGTTAGTCGCCTTGTCGGGTTGTACGCATCCAACGTGACCATCTGTGGGGTGTCATAATATGGGATTGTAGTTACACTTTAGAATTCTTATGGTAGTTTTGTAGTCTATTTAACACACACACAACCATGGGTGACATCTGATATGTGCATTTACAAAAAGTTCATGTATACCAAAAGTCAAGCAAAGGTACTTACCGACTACAGATCAAATGTACATATGGGCAGAGTATTTTAAAATACTTCTAAATAGTCCGGCCCCAGAGGTATCTCCATATATCCAGCCTTTAGAAATGGAACTGGACATCAACTGAGAGATACCATCTATAGAGAAAATTAGAAAAGCTATCAATATTCTGAGGGAAGAAAAGGCAGCAGGTCTAGATGGTATTCCAGCAAAAGCTATTAAGGCTAATAGAAACATATTAACAGAATCTCTGCATAGATTATTTAGCAAAGACTGAGAGACTGAAGAAATACCAGCTGATTGATTATCTTCTGAAACTGCCCCTACAAAAAAAAAAAATTGGGATCTACAGGAGTGCGAAAACTAATGAGGAATTATTTTGCTTTTGGTTAATGGAAAAATATTAAGTAGGATTAGTTTGGAATTAATAAAAGATACATTAATAACACATTAAGAGATGAACAGATCGTATACTGAATAGATAGCCTCACCACGTTTAATAATCGGGCAGGGCAAAGAATTGAATTGAATTCTCACTTTGCATTAAGTTCATAGACTATGAAAAACTGTTGAGAGCATTGATAGGGAATCTCTCTGAAAATTAATGGGGCACTGTGGAATCCAACAGAACATTCATTACTTTTTTAGTAAATGCAACATTTAAAGACATGACGTGTCGAGTGCAATAAGTGGAGTTTTATTCTCTCGTTGTCTAGGTGGTGTTCATGTGTGTGTAGTGGATGTTCATCTCACACCCTCTACGTTACCTAACTGGTACAAGCCGACACCAAGTTAATCATACGAGCATCGATTTATTGACATGTTATAACTTCCAGCAATGTCCAGTCGTTGTCCTAAAACACAGCTCTTGCGCACCAATTCACGCAGCCTTCAACGAGCAGGTTCTTCATGCATTCACTGACCAGAGTCGGCTCCAATCAATCAGGTTCAGTTTCTTGCCATTATACAGACTGGCTTGGTCGATCTTGGCTTCACACTTTGTCGTCAGGGTCTCCTTTCGCAACAAACAGTCTTACGTTGACATTCTTACACTCAGTCGCACATATTCTCGCTCCAACAGGTCGACAAAAACTACGCTTGATCAGAATCAAGTCTGACTTATACCACGGGTTAGTTTCACGTGGCAACACGTGGTGGTCCTTTACTTTCACCTGGTGACCTTTGGTCTCGTCGTCGTGATACCCGTGATAACTAGTGGTCATCACCTATCTGAAGATCCTCGTTTAATCCGAGTATCTGGAATATCTCAGTGTTTTAGGTTGGCTTTGGGCCTTCCCCCCCCCTTCCCCCCCCCCTTCCCCCCCCCCCACCTTCCTAATCTGGGTGAAAATATCCCCCATTACATCGAGCTTTTATTAGGGAAAGCTAACAAATCAGGGGAAAGGAAAAGACAAAGATATTGAGAATAAGTCATTCAAAAGTATGTAGTTTCTCAAAATGATCTCCTACTCCAAGACGTAAAGTCATACATCTGTTTGGGCAATAATGTAAGTAACCATAAAGGAAGTGATAAAGTAAAAGAAATAAAAAGTAAAGATCTTTTTACGCCTTCAGGAGTATAGGGCATTAGGGAAAAGCACCTCATATATTTACAGACCAATGGGCACTAGGTGGGTAATGAGGTCAGCATTACGCCGTCCGTCTTTACTTCCCCTGGACATACATTCTGGTACTCATTTAGGCCTGGGTCAAACTGCGATGCCCATAGCATGATAAAAATCTACGCAGTCAGCAGTGGGTTTCGATTACGGTACGTTGCAATTGCGAGTCCGACTCGGAACGCCTAAGCCACGAACGTCGCTGGAGAAAGTGATAGAGATATAAAAATATGAATAAAAAAGACAAGTGGAGTTTTCATAGCACTAGGGTATTTGTGGCGTGTAAGGTTGTGATCAGGCGCTTCGCACTGCAGCCAGAATTGTTAAGGTTGAATATCATCTCTTCGGAGAAGTAAAAAGTGAAATTTAAGTAGCCTGCCAATGACCTGTTGATCACCCAGGTCAACCCCATCTCTTCAAGGTGCACGCCGGAAAAGTGAAGCCGCTAGGTTTCAGGCTAACGGGGCAATACCCCGCCACGCGCCCCGCATAGCAAGCCGGATGTGATCTGTTAGACTGTTACTACTCAAGAAACATTGAATGATTATAGGACAGTATTTATCGAGGATGGCAGACTCGAAAGAGAGATAGAAGCTATAGTACAGTAAGCAAATGTACCAGTTAGCCCCACTGCTTAGATACCAACGTGTCCCCTTTCCAGCAAAACAGCAAGTAATTAATAGCATTTTCAAATCCACTTTATGTTTTCAGTGCCAAACATGGACAATGAATAGGGCACTGGAACAGAAGAAAACTACACATACAATGCGCTGTCTCCGCAAGGTCACTATCAACACTACACGAGACAGGGTTACGAGTACCAGCATTAGAGAGAAAGTTGGAATAAGACCATGTCTGGATTACATTTTCAGACAAAGTATGAAGTGGTTCGACATCTAGTGGGAATGCAGCCAGACCAGACTGCATATGAGACTTTTTAGAAAGAGATGGATAAATGCAGTCGTTGGAACCTGCAAAATGTTAAACACATCCATCACTCAAGCCACCCGAAACAAGTCAGTCAAATACAGAAAACCACGACCCTGGGTTACAGCCTGGTATCAGTAAGACAATATAATAAAAAAAAAAGAAAAGGAGAAATTGTTGAGTTCAAAGAAATTAACACGAATTCTTTAAAAAAAAAAAGGGAATTTCAAAGACAAATTAGTACTTGTATATAAAACGGAA